AAAATCGCATAACAGCCGAGCATACACCCAGCAGCGCTGCTGATGCCTGAACGGTATGTGGAATGAAGTGGGCGGGCATCGGGAGGCCACTATGGCACGGGGCAAGCACTATGGGCAGTCTATCTGAAGTGTACCTGGCGTATAAGACGACCCCCCACTTGGAGGCATATTTTTCAGGGCCAAAAAATCGTCTTATACACCGGCAAATACGGTAAGTCCTTTTTTCCTTTCTGAGCTTAATTTTATGTATAAAATGAAAATTTAAAAAATGATCCCCCAAGGTTCCTTTTGGCTCTAACACTCTATGACTCAATTGGTGCATATGCAAAATGGCCAATCTGCCAATCATTTTGGGAGAGGAAATTTTAATATCACCCGTCATTTGTCTTACACTGGAGTCATTTTGCAAAACAGGAAACAGCACACAGGCAGGAAGTCTTGTGTTAAAATAACTTAACCACAGGCCTCCCTGCATGTCACTTCCTCCCTTATCTGTTCACAGCAATACAAATTACAGGCAATGAACTTTCTAGATTAAGCATTTTGGGAAGTTGGTTCCAAAGGAGAGGATACACTGAGAAAAAAAATTTCAGACCAAGACACTGAGTTTTCACTCAAAATATTCTGCCGGGCTGTATATTGCTTACCTTTTGGAGCACTGTCTCCGTACCCACAGTGCATGTCAGAGGCATGGGATACTGCCTCTAGGCGGCCCACGGCCTTCTCCAATCTTTCTACCAGATTTTGCATGTCAGCCATAATGCACCACCTGCTGAAACAGATAAAAAGTCATTTATTGTTTTAATATTACGTAGTACCTCCTAAGGAGAAGAAAGAATACTTAGGGATGAAGAAGATGCCAATTCTGAGGAACAGAGTCATTTAATAATAAAATAAGATGGAAAAGAAGTCTAGAACATTTGCAAGATCATAAAGACCTCGTTAAGCAAGAGAACTACCCAGGAAAAGGTGTTCACTGAAAGCAAATGTTTACTCACTCAAATACTTACTGAATATGGTATCACAAAATTTTAAATTTAGAACTTAAAAAGTATAGTCACATATCTTGGTTTGTGCCTTCCAACAACTTCAGGCATGGAAGGAAAATTATTACACTCTTACAGATAGGAAACTTAATTTCAGTGAAGTTAAATGGCTTGCCTATAGCCAGGACTCAAATTGAAATCTGGCTCTAAGTTCAGTGGTTTGCCCTACAACATCTTGCTGCCTGCATATGAATGCCCAAAACCAAGATGAAGAGGACAGTTACCATGCCCTCAATAACAAAATCTAATACAGGAGACTTGACATGTACACTAACAACTATACAACAAATAGAAAAAATGTTTAAGGGGACCTAAGAGTGTTGCAGATAGAATAACACAGGATTTCAGAGAGGCAAGCTGCCATTTGACCCAGACTTCAAATGAGAATGGATGGGATCTGGAAACACAGTAGGGAAGAATAGACACATCCAGAAGAGCTTCTTACAGATCTTTCACAAGTACTAGGATTTTCACAGGTATTAATTTACCTGAACTAGTCTTATTCAGTGTCTAATATTCTAAAAGAAAGTATGTCCACCAGAGAAAGGATCTTCTCTGACACGTTCCTTATTACGTTCTACCATCTAGAGACCATTACCTGAGAGATAGAAGGTGTTCAATAAATATTTATGAAGTTCATGAACTGGAAGTCTAGCATCCCAAAACTCCAAAGGAACAAGTGTTCTGAAAGCTGCCCATACTATACATACAAATAAGTGTTAAATGTTATCAACACACATAAAATGCTGGAGACCATAAGTGATCTCATAAAAATGTGAAATTTCTTTTTTAAAAAAAAAATATTTTTATTGATTTCAGAGAGGAAGGGAAAGGGAGAGAGAGATAGAAACATCAATGATGAGAGAGAATTTGGGGATGAGCCAGCAACCCAGGCATGTGCCCTAACGGGGAATTGAACCATGACTTCCTGGTTCATAGGTCGACGCTCAATCACTGAACCATGCCAGCTGGGCAAAATCTGTGAAATTTCAATCAAAGCCTTGACTTGGAAGGATTCCATTTCAAAGAATTAATTAGTTCAGGTAATTGAAGCTGAATGAACTCAACTCCCTTGGAGCTGCCTAAAATGACCATAACAACTACAATTTCCCCAAAGATGACATGCCAGAATTTCTCAAGTTAACACATTATCCTCTCTGTGGAAGAGATAAGCAGCTCACAAGATAAAGTATCCCTGTCCATTCTTTCCTGTGTATGGGCTCTAGTCTCTCTGGGCCCGATGACTTCCAGAGAATGTTGTTTAAAAGAAAATCAAAGAAAAAAAATAAGAATGCAAACCAGATAAACCTTTTCATTCCCTGGCCTGGAGATGCAGCAGAAGTCTCCAACTCTGTTCTACTCACAAACGGAGAAACTAGAAGCAGCCAATATATTCTCCCTTATGTTATGCTACCATCACTTGAGTTCCTGAATTGCTGTCAATTTTGCATACTCTTCAGGGATAAACATATTATTTACCACACTCAATAAATCCCAGGGGGAAAGGCAGCAAATACAATAAACTCCCAAGCATTAATAGATACCACCTGTTCTAAAACATGTTCTCTCCATGTTCCCACCATAGATGCTACAGTGTTAACACAGAAACACAATACAAGTGTCTCTAAAGACTGCCAGGGTTGGTGAAGACTCACCAATCTTAAAAGCTTAATACAGCTTCATGGGATTTTGGCTCCTTTCTCTCCACTTGTAACCTTTAATTGCTAAACAAGCTAGTTCTGCTAAGTTAAGCAGAATGAAAGGAAGGGCAAAACAGTGATCATTTATAGCTAATCTCATCCTACCACTAACCAAATATAGAACAGAACCTAGTATTTTGTTTTTGGTGAGGGTAGGACGAAACGTGAGATGATATGGGAAAGAATGTCCAGAACTGAAGGGAACAAAAGATACACCTTGTCTCATTGTCTATGCACACATTCACATTCTTTAGGCGGTTGGATCCACTCCCAAACCTTCCACTATCATTATCCAGCCTGCTTGCTGAGTGGTACGGCCACAACCACCTATGGACTAACAACTCCCAGAGCAGCATATCCAGTGCAAGACATTCTTCTGGGATTCAGAATTTTAAATCCAGCTTCCTCCTAGAGACATCTCTACCTAGATGTCTCAAAGGCATCTCAAGATGAAATGTCCAAAACAGAAATAGTCAACTTCCCATCTCCCACCCCCACTGTCTCAGTAATCCAGCATTACCATCAGTCACCTGGTTGACCAAACTAGTAACTTAGGAACTGTTAGGTAGTCAAGTATAGAGGGTTGAGAGCATTGTCTTTAGAGAAGTCAGACAGATAGGGGTTTGAATAACAGCACTCGTTGGCTCTGTAACTATGAGTGTTATCAAACTTTCTGAGCCTCAGCTTCCTTATCTGTGTAATGGAGACCGCAGTTTGAAACCCAAAGGGCTGCAGTGAGAATCAAGAGGAAAGACATGGCCCTATCTGGTTTGGCTAGAGCATTGGCCTGTGGACTGAAGGGTCCCGAGTTAGATTCCGATCAAGGGCATGTACCTCAGTTGCAGGCTCAATCCCTGGCCCTGGTCTGGACCATGTGGGAGACAACCAATTGATATGAGATGTTTCATCTCTCTCCCCGTCCCTTCCATTCTTTCTGAAAATTAATGGTGATATGAGATGTTTCATCTCTCTCCCCGTCCCTGCCATTCTTTCTAAAAATTAATGGGAAGCCCTGGCTGGTTTTGCTCAGTGGATAGAGCGTTGGCCTGCAGACTGAAGGGTCCCAGATTTGATTCTGGTCAAAGGCAGATGTCCGGGTTGCGGGCTTGATCCCCAGTGGGGGGCGTGCAGGAGATAGCCAATCAATGATTCTCTCTCATTATTGATGTTTCTATCTCTCTCTCCTTCTTCCTTCCTCTCTGAAATCAATAAAAATATTTTTTAAAAAAATCAATGGGAAATTATCCTTGGGTGAGGAATTAACAAAACAACAAAAAAGAGGAAATGCATCTAGAGGTACTTGGCTCAGTCCTAAAAAATAGAAAGGATTCCATAGATATTAATTAAATTATCTTCTTCCTTACTCCTCAAATCTAATCAGTTATCAAAATCTACAGGCTCCATCTTGCATCATCCTGATTGACAAAAATTGAGAATTTATAACTTTTGCCAGATTGCAATAACTTCTTTGCCAGTCTCCCAATTCCAGTAATACACTCTCTTTATCCAGTCTCCATATTACCATAGTGATCCTTCTTAAATGCAAATGTAATTATGACAGTCTTTTATTTAATATTATTCAATACTCCCCAGGGCATTCAGGGTAAAGTCCAAACAAGGTTTCCATAACCTGGAACCTGGTCCTGCTTTATCTCCCACAACTACAGTTTTATCTCTTGCCACACCTTTCCTCAGCACAGTACAGTAATCCAGGACTACTAGCACTTTCCAGAAAGAGTCATACTTTCTCTCACTTCTATGCCTTTATAATGCTATCCTCTTTGCTTTGTTGATTTCCTTCGTAATCTGACCTGTCTCAGACCTCCTACTGCCTTATAATACTTAGTTAAGGTGCTGCCTTCTCCAGGAAGCTTTTCTAGTCCAAATGCTTTTCCTTCTCAATCTGCCCCCTCTCCAGAACTCTTATGGTCCCTTAAGTCTTAACTAAAGTAATACCTCTCCAAGAAGCATTTCCAATATGTGTTCCCACACATTGTGCACTTACCTCTACCACACATTTAACATATACGTTTTAAATCATTTATTTAATCATTTAATAGGCAACTGGCCACTTGAGGGCAGAAACCATGTACTATAAATGTACTATGTACTGTAAATACTGTAAGTTGGTAAGAGTCCTTGAGGTAATAAAAATCCTATCCTATATAATAAAAGCCCAGCGACTGAACAGCGAACGACCAGAACAACTGGTCGACCAATTGCTATGACACACACTGACCACCAGAGGGAAGACACTCAACACAGGAGCTGCCCCCTGGTGGTCAGTGCACTCCCACAGTGGCAGCACCGATCAGCTGACCAGGATGAGCAGCTGCTTCTGGGAGCAGTTGCTCAGAGGGCAGGTCCACAGCTGCTCGGCTGACCTGGATGAGCAGCTGCTCCTGCAGTAGGCCCATCCCCACAGGCCATGTCCCCCAACCAGTGCACAAATCCTGTGCACCGGGCCTCTAGTATAGTATAAATTACTATGTGGTCTGAGAGCTCAGAAGAAATCAATGAGGATTGAAAGTAATCTGGTTGGGGGGAAGTGGGGCATCTTGATAGAAAAGGTAAAAGAAAAAAAGGAAAGACATTCCAGAGCAATCAGAAGCAAAGAAGAGAGAACAAGGCAATGCATAAAAAGTACAAGACCGCATATATCATGCAACGTGAAGTATCATGGGAAAGCCAGGCAGTATTTGAATTTGATGTTGTGATAACTGTGAAGCCATTCAGGGATTTTGAGTGAATAATATAATGAAAGTTAAATTTTACAAATACTCTCTGAGAAAAAACACACAAAAAACAAATACTGTCTGAGAAACAGAATGGGATTGGGGGGGGAAAGGAAGATACTAGGGTTTAAGTTAGGTTGAAAGCTGTTGTTCACCTGTAAAATAAGAAGGCTACTACAAAAAATATATTTTATATTTCAAAGTTAAACATCCATAACATCTAGTGTCTAACCAAATACAGAAAACACAGGAAAAGAATAGATTAACCCACAAATAATCAGTTTTAGGCGG